AATATGAGGTGGTCAAAAGATAGTATTTGTGATATCAAATAACTGCTACCTACAACCAGCAACCGCAGTAGCTACTGGCGTCGCTTCATCCCTTCACTCGAATCAAATAAAAGAAGGCAAATGACCGTAGATAAGTAATGTGTGTTACAGGCTTTCTTGAGGACATACACAATTAACAATTCACATCGATGTATGCCAATCTAGACTCACTAAATTCGACGACGGCAGCTTAGTCGGATGGCGAGTGGTCATGAATCGTTTCTAGACCGGGATGAGAATCTAACGTGAGGAAGAAGCTTCTCCTGGTTTGTGGCTCCTCAGCTCCCGGTTTCTCGGGATTAGGGGTCGAAAGTTCTCATATTGAGGAAGCGACCAACATACCACGAGATACTGGTTAAAGTGCGTTGTAATCCAAATAACGACGACGATGTTGACCGATGACCGATAACATACATAAACACGCAGGTACACACAAACTAACTGCATTCTGCCATTATTCCTTAAGATAAAGACAAGTGTGGGTCAGTGCCTGGGCATTGGGCAGCAGTATTATGCAGTTACACGTGCGCGATGCCCCTCCATTATCTTGCCAATCTAGCATGTTTTCAATCACTTGAAATGCTTCATGAAAGTGAAAACTAGTTTGTACATCCTCACCTTATCTCATGTCAACAAGAATAAAGGACTCAACAATGCTAGTGTACTTTCAGGTTGACCTAGCAAAGTCAGGATGTGATGACAAAAGCGACAGCCGTAAAACGACGATCGTTTACGAATTTGGGTATCGTTATACGACTACTATTTTACTATATTGGACTCATACGTTATAATATTGGGTTGGAAAACCGGTGGTCGCGCAGCCCATGTCATATGAAGTTCCACAACGTAAGGAGTATGTGGCAGTGTTTGCGATGGGGGCTCCTACGTTATATTTCAAAAATGGAGATGAAAACTTGCGTCTCAGCGTGCACCCTGACCGCGGACTGCGTGCACGCTGACCGCGTACTGCGTGCACGTTGACCGCGTGCTGCGCACACCTTGACCGCGCACTGCGTGTACGCTGACCGCGTACTGCGTGCACGCTGACCGCGTACTGCGTACACCCTGACCGCGCACTGCGTGCACGCTGTCTGCCGGCCGGCCGATCCGGTCGGCGGGCACACCTCAATCGACCGTCAGTGGGACCACTTGCGGACCGTTCAGGACGGCTCTGGTCGCCGAGTGGGGCTGTGGGGCTGCCTCCGTCGCCCGCTGCGAGGCGCCGTAATACGGCCTGGACCTCACCCGCCGGACGCCGGCTCAGGACGGCTCGGGTCGCTTTGGGGCCGCCTCCGTCGCCGCTGCGAGGCGCGTGATACGGCCTGGATCCCACCCGCCGGACGCTGGCTCAGGACGGCTCGGGTCATTTTGGGGCCGTCTCCGTCGCCGCTGCGAGGCGCGTGACACGGCCTGGACCTCACCCACCGGACGCCGGCTCAGGATAGCTCTGGTCGCCGAGTGTGGCGTGTGGGACCGCCTCCGTCGCCGCTGCGATGGTGCGTGATACGGCCCCGGACCCCACCCGCCGGACGCCGGCTCAGGACGGCCTGCGGTCATTTTGGGGGCCGCCTCCGTCGCCGCTGCGAGGCGCGTGACACGGCCTGGACCTCACCCCACCGGACGCCGGCTCAGGTCGCGGCCCGGGGGCTGTTACTAGGAGCGGCGCGCGACGGGGTCACTGCTTGGTGTTTCTCTGCGCGGCCGCGACCCTCCGGACAATGTCTGCGGAAGCCGGTGCTACGTGCGGTGAGGCGGTCCGAAAATAATGCTTGGCATCCACCCGCCTGGAGCTTGTTTTCCTCGGCAGCAAACCAATCATGTGGCAGAATCTCGTGAGCCTCGCAAGTTCTGCAAGTCAAATTTGTGCTCGCTTGACTGCTGGAGGCTGGGGCTGGGATGCTCTCCTGAAAAATGTGTTGCGAGAAGTTGTTCTTGAGGTCTGCGCCACCAACGACAGGGGCATACCAGTTGTTGTGAGCACGACATGGGTCAGCTAGACTTCGTCGTAATCTCTGCGAAGGCTTGCCGACTACAGACCGCAATGTTATTAAGCACGCTTCGGGCGGCGTAGTGCGTTTATTACCTTCCATTTATGGCGTACCGAGCGTCGCAGTTGATGGATTTAGCTGGAAACGCTGGCATTGGACTGTAGCGCTGCAAATATAAAGCCTCATGCAAGGCTTATCACAGTTGACGCGTAGGCATTTCTGCAGCGTGCGTGTGCTGCGGCTACTTGCCGCACATGTGTGCATGCTGAACATGTTGCTGTGGACGCCTTTTCCGTCGTGTAGTGCCGCCAAATGCCATGGACATTTGTTGCATTTTTTATCTTGACGGGCCGTAGCGAACGGGCTGATAATTCCTTGTTGAATACAACCTTTCTGTGCATATTTAATTATACAACGCTTGATTAATTAATTTATATGAAGGCGTGACGTCAGGTTCTACACCAGGCAGCATTAAGCAAACTTATTAATTCATTTCTCGATTGCGTATAAGCCAGTATGCCCGATCTGTTTTCATCGCAGATTCCTTTGCTTTTGCTTCGGAAGCCAAAGGCTTTTGAGAATGCTTTGGAATGAACATGGCGACTTACTGTAATGCCCCAATGGACAAGCTCTGATGCATGTAGCCGATTGCGTTTTACGCTCGTAATGCCGACGGTATATCGGGCAAAGTATATTGCGTTTCAGGTTGCAAGCCCCATCAGCCCCAACAGTTCGCTCCGTATCCAATATAGTCACCGAAGAGAAGCGGAATGGGCTGAGTGATGACAGCTGTCCGAACGGGCAGAAGTTGAAGCTCGTTGTTCCGTCGGCCGGGCCGGAGATGAACCTCCTGCATAACGAATACGCTTCGCTGACGTCGGCCAGCTGAAAGAATTAGCGGTCCGCACCGGCCAAACGCAACTTTCACGGACAGCCAACGGCCGCGATCAGACGGGCAGCGAAATTCGGTGTGATAAGGCTCTCGCTGGTGGCGATTAGACTCGTCTAGCGCCGTAGCCAGTCACGCGTGGAGTCATAGTCGCCATAACCAAAATGTCAAAGAGTTGCTATCGTCGCCACTTGTGTGGTTATTTGTGGATAAAAATATGTGGCATCTCCCCGCAAGTTAATGCGGTGTCTTTCCTTTTTGCGACTGGAAGCTATTCTCTCAGCAATAACTGCGGAATTACACCACTTGGGCGCACAGCGCTGCGGCGCTGTGTGCTGGATCTCTTAAGTGAGTGCGTACCGGCATCTTTGCACTGGCTGAGGTTGAAAAGGTGCTGACTGCAATTCATAGTTCTTCTCGCGTAAGGAATAATTAAGCTCTAAAACTCTGCCGGTAGGTTCGCTCCTCTCTTCTCCTCATCACAGATCAATCATGGTAGCTCTCACGGTCCAAATTGTTAAGCACATTACAGAAATTGTCTGCTTAAAGGAAATATTCCATATTCCTATTGGGTTTTGAACTTGAACAGCCATCTTGAAGACCTTTCGGTGCTGTTCACAAGGGCAGGGTCCCTCAGGACCTTAACGTCGCTAGTTTATGAGCTACACGCCTGCGAAAGCGGGGGAGAATATTTCGGGGAGAGTATTCAAAGTCATCTTGGCACTCATGGCGCATAATAGTGCCATCCAGACCTGCCACGTCATAAGCATGCAGCAATCAACGCCAATAAAAATATAATTGTGACGATCATATCTGGTGTTCGTGAGCACGTTTTCCAGATATTGAGGCCGTCAAATGGCTCCCAATCAATGTTGTGCAAAGTACGATATGTAATCAAAACAATGACGCATTAACACGCGCCCGGGTGGCGGGCTGGATACCCTTCGCTCGGGTAGTGTGCGGGTCAATTTGACCCCCCTGATGTCTCGGGAACTAAGAAAGCTAGAGACACCAAATTTGCAGGGTGTGTTGATCTGTGCGTGCACCCACTTAGGTCATAGTTTCAAGTTCCCAATGAACAACAAGTTCCTAGGTCATGACCTTCGGGTTAGATAAGGTCAAACAAGGTCAAATTCCAGGTTGGTCTCTAAAGTGCCCCACATCCTAGATAACCATTTTTAAGCAAAAGGTGACATGCTCATCTAAGGTCAGTTACTTTGTTTAACCTTTTGAAGGTCATGGTGACCAAAGGCATAACAGATTGCTCTGAGTTTTGCATTTGAATAAGCGACAAAGATTATGTTAGGCGGTATGTTCCTAAAAGCAAAATGTTGACCTGGATCATCTTAGGTCAGTGACCTATTCTAGCCTCCAAGAAGTCCTTGGAAGATGTATTCAGCGGTTCCTGATATCATTAAATACGAAATGAGCACCAGAAACTATCCCATACAGCAAGCCCTAGAGTAATAAAACAGGTTTATTTTGACCTTAGTCTGACCTTCATACCTGACGTTAGGTCAATGTGATTTGTTCATTCATCTGCTGTGTTTCCTAAGAAAGCATCTCAGAGATGTATGGCTTCGTTTAACACTCCGTTGTTCAGATTGTCACTCCGTCAGATTGAACGATTCCCCAGAAATTGATTTCACTGTAACCATCGCCTGACTTTGACCTGCCATAGGTCAGCGATCTTGCAAGGTACATCTAAATTTTTGATACCGAGCGATCCACTATTCAATTGCCTACAGCCATGCAAATTGTGGCGCGGCTACGCCGCGCCGTTCGGAAACCATTTTGGAAAAACCCTCGGGGGTCAATTTGACCCCCACTAGAGTGCGTGTGTACTAAACAGGGAGCATGTGTACTAAACCGGGAAGTTGTGTCGTCTAAAGCAGCCTTTTCCACTGAGAAGTACACCGATAGTTATGAGTGAGCTTATGTCATCATGTCTGATGCTGGCTTCAGTATCTTCAAATATGAAACATTCCCTTTGACAGCGTTGTTTTCACGCTTTTCACCGATCGAGCTCTCACGGCAGCAAGTTGGTCTATTTCGAGTTATGTGGACGACGTGTTTAACGTGTTATGGACGTGGTGAAGGTTTGACGGTTTGTCACTGATGTAAGCTATTCTAATTTATCCTGGTATAGCCTAATAGTTAAGTGTTGGAAATAAAGTATATTTATTAAAGTAATAATGATAAATGTAATGTGTCATAAGGAGATATTCGGACCCAGTAATCTCAGTGGTGTCACTGACTTGATGACATGTGGTATTAGGCTAAATAAATCGGCCCAGCTCGTGACAACTTGATGCCGAATTTGGCTCTGGCAAGTTTCAATTCATCCAGTTGTCTTCGCTCTCCTGAGTCATATTTTTTGTTGGAAGAATGTCGAGTATTGTGGGTTGAAAGTCACTCAAGTCCTTTTCTGTCGTCGACTGACAATGGTTAACTGGCAGGGAAAGCCTGGTGGAAGCGCCCTCGTGCTTTTACCCACCATCAATGCACACATCAGGGGCGTGTGTGAAGATGGCGTCGCATCACCTGCAAGAACTTTTAGTAAGCATACACGACACTAAATGATTTAAGGTCGTTGTACCGGGGTTTTATTTAAAAGGGCTCTTTATGAGGAGAATCGAGCCGGTCCTGCGTTCTGCTTGTTTGTACCCAACTTCCCCGCAGGTTGTGGTTGCGTTTCTCCCCGCAGACGGTGCGGGCCGCGTCTCCTGCGTGTTCGCCCGCCGGTGGCGAGACGCCTGTCCGTCCGCTAGCTGCGGCAGTGGTCGTGACCCGCCCACCGGCCCTCAGGTGGTGGCAGTGTTCGTGACCCGCCCTCCGGCCCACAGGTGGTGGCAGTGGTCGTGACCCGCCCACCGGCCCTCCGGTGGCGGCAGTGGTCGTGACCCGCCCACCGGCCCTCAGGTGGCGACAGCAGTCGTGGCCCGCCCACCGGCCCTCCGGCCCTCCGGTGGCGGCAGTGGTCATGACCCGCCCACCGGCCTTCCGGTGGCGGCAGTGGTCGTAACCCGTCCACCGGCCCTCCGGTGGTGGTAATGGTCGTGACCCGCCCACTGGTCCTCAGGTGGCGTACGGGCTGACGGAGACCAGCCCGCTGTTAACGGTCGGCTTCCCCTCCGATGACGTGGAGCACCGCTGCGGCACCGTCGGCTACCCGCTGGACCACTGCGAGCTCAAGGTGGTGGACGAGAGCGGCCAGATCGCGCCGCCCAACACGCCCGGCGAGCTGTGCGCGCGCAGCTACAGCACATTCCTCGGCTACTGGGACGACGCGGAGAAGACGCGTGCCAGCCTCACTCCGCAGCGTTGGTTCCTTACCGGGTGAGTGGCCCGTCTGGCCCCGGGCGCTGGGCGCCGCCCGTCGCCCGCCGCACGCCGCCCGAGGTCCGTCGCACGCCGCCGGGTAGCGGTGGCGAAGTGGCGCGATCTCCGTGTGTCGCGGCCCGCGCCCGGCGGAGCTGACGCCGGGGTCCTTGTGCTCGGCTTGCGCATGGCCAGCTTGTTATGTGACATGTGTGCTTTGTATTCTGATGATCGACGGTATCAGTGTGGAGTGGGAAGCTGTCCGTCGTGCGTGGCGCTCGTGCGTATCCAGCGCTCTGCTGGCACCTGGCGGCGCCGTTTTTGTACACAGTGCCAGAGCGAACTGACGTCCCAGACGGGGATGCGCCCCTCGTGCGGTGCAGTATGCTGGCCGGTGCGGGACTGGCGAGTTTCCTGCGCTCACCTGATACCCGCTTAGTGTGGTGTGGGCTGACACCCGCTGCGCTCTGTCGACGGCTCTCCCGTTCTGTTGCTGATGCGCGGCAGGCGCTAGCCCGAGATGTCCCCCGAGCTCCTTAATGCGGGGTGGGGTGGCACCTCCCGCGCTCTGTCGACGGCTGTCCTGTTCTCTGCGGACACGCGGCCAGTGCGAGCCAGTGATGTCCGCTGAGCTCCTAAATCACTGAAACCCAGTCCACTTCGTTTCTCCGTTGCCACGACAGCGGCCGGCGGCGAACGCGACCGAAGAAATACGATCTTGCCCCGGTGCCGTTGCCGTCCTGATCTGGTACAATGAAATTGGAGCCGGCCGGTGTTTTGCGGCCGGAGCGCGGCTGTTGCCGCCTGGAGTCCGGCTCGGCCGACGGCCGCGGATGTGTGTCCAGACTGATGAATGGCGGCGGCGAGCCGCGACGGCCGCGAAGCCAGCCGTATCCACGGGCGCACGTCAGATGGGGTGGCGCCCACTGAGGCTGGGCGAAACGGTATGGCAGGATAGCGAACAGTGATGCAGCTTCACAGAAGTCGGCACGGAAACGCACACGTGCCAATGCAATCTGTATGTCGATGCTTCTTGATGGTCTCCTGACCAGAAATCGCATTGAAACTTTCGCTACTAATACTGGAAATTTGTATTGCGCAATGATATCGGAGTGCGGTCCTTATTTTTGAAAGGCGCTTGTTTATTGTTTATCAACACATTTCAGCACAATGCAATCTTCGTTTCGTAAAAGTACCAAAAAGACTCTTGCAACGGAATACCACTTGCATCGCTTTAGAAAAAATCGATCATCTTCTGTTGATATTTTGAGGGTAACGACTGTATCTGATGCATACCCCATCGGGTGCATTCTTCGTTTCATCTCAGTATTTTTTAATCAGCAGGCAGGTTGTGTACTCTGGGGATATAAATATTTGGTAGTGTTGATCGGATACTAAACTAGCCCTGAGATTTTTGATGACATAGTCTGGTGAGCAACGGGCTACTATCTTTGACGACTTCTGGCCTCGCATTGACGTCCTGTGCGATGTCTTCTGATGTTAACTTTAGGGTGTTACGACATTCCGAAGCCCCGCCCCGAACCCCCGCTATTCAGCGCTGTGAGTAGCTATATTTGACACGGCTGGTGAGGTCGTAACGCGTTTACGTCCTCAACACCGCTGAACGGCCGCTATTGGTGGCGCTGTATGCCGGAGCGGCCACCCCGCCACCACGGCCGTGCGCCGCCCCGCCGCCCGACAGGCAGGTGGACCTCGGAACGGCCACCCCGCCACCGCGGCCGTGCGCCGCCTCGCCGCCCGGCAGGCAGGTGGACCTCGGAGTGACCACCCCGCCACCGCGGCCGCACCCGGCCGCATGCCGTCCCGACGCCCGGCAGGCAGGTGGGCCTCGGGGCGGCCACACCTCCACCGCGGCCGTGCGCCGCCCCGCCTCCCGGCAGGCAGGTGGACCTCGAGGTGGCCGCCCCGCCACCGCCACCGCGCCGCCCCGTCGCCCGGCAGGCAGGTGGACCTCGGAGCGGCCGGCACCGCGCCGCGCCGCGCCGCGCCCGGCGCCTCCGGCTCGGAGAAATCGTTACCGATCAGTGCCGGCGGGGTCTGTGTCGCGGCTCGCCAGTCGCCGCCGACGTGACAGCTCCACTGAGTGAGCGGCCGCTCGGCCTGCGCCGTCGTCGTCGTCGTCGTCGGCGGCGGCGGCGACGGCGGCGGTCGGCCATCGGTTGGACCGCGGCCGGCGGTGGCTCCCCGCCGCCGGTGAATTCCTTGCGCGTTGCCGCCGCGTGCTGACGCGGTTTACCTGGAGCTCTGCTGGGCGCTCTGATGAGTTCCGGGCGCTGCCGAATCCCATCGTTTGAGGTGCCGGCTGGTTTGAGCGTGTGCAGCTGGCGCACCATTTGAGTGCTTTGTGGGGGACGCGAAGTTTGGATTGGGATGCTTCAGCGAACTGGATGGACGAATAGACCTATGTCGCTAGCTGTCGTGACTTTCCTTTGGGGCTGTTATCTGTCAAGGTCTCGTTGGTCTCGGATTGTCTCAGTTCTTCTCTTTTTGGGTCTTGATTCGCATCTCGGTCATACGCCACGGCATGTCTCATATTATGTGTCGGCATGACATGTCGGCATGTCTCATATTATGCCAGTTATTTACCTTTTTGTATCTTGATTCACGTGTATTCTGGATTGGCGAAGTAATGTCATAGTATACATGCAATGTATCAGTGCACTATAGCACACCACAAAGTGACATATGGGCCTTCAATAAAAAGCCATATCTTCAGAGTTACGTTGCATCCTGAAAATATCACAAACTGAATCGGAAAATGGAGAAAAAATGTCACTACCTGAGATCAAAAGGCAAGGAGTTCAACAACGAGTTAAGTCATTTCACCCGGAACGTTGCTGAGCACTTATATTGAAACATTGGAGCAGTGCCGTCAAGCTTCCTGCCGCCAATCATCCTGGCATTGGTACAATAATGAATCGGGTTGTCAGAATTGTAAATGAGAAATCGGAAATCAACCTTTGGATGTTTTTCTTTAGTGGTCTTTAAACTATTAGGAAAGGAACACTGCTAACCACCGAAAATCTGAGCAGCTCCGTCAATCCATGAACCTCCAATACGTTTCGTTCAGTACTAGCGCTAGTGCCTCTAGGTGTTTATGTTACAGACTCCTGTGCTTTCATCGCTTAAGCGCTGGTATTGTGCGCGCGCCAAAGCGATCACGGCGCGCCGATACTCACGCTGAATCGATGTGATCGAGTCGCCCGAGTACAAAATTGCGCTTAAAGCTGCATGCCTCAGGACGGGAGTAGTGGACTAGTGACCTTGATTTGGGGCGTAGCCGCGTGACTGCTCCAGCGAATCGTTGGCGTGGTTCGATAATGCTGGTGTGTAGTCGTCTTGATATCGATGTCAGTCCTAAACAGCACTCCCTCCCTCCCCCCCCCCCCCCCCGTTCGTTACTTGGACGTGGCCGTCAAGGTGTAACGGCGCGGTTGGAAGGTGCCATTTGCTGCGATCGATGCCGGCCGAGCTATCTAATTTTATGAGCGGCTCGGCCAAGATCAGCAAGCAATTCCGAACTCGTCATTTGCTAGGATTTCTCTGGACGCGCGTGATAGAAGCGTCTTGCGGGTTAGGCTGTCGCTGTCCAGGTTGTTTGGTTCGAATTATTTGGACGTCTGTGTCACTCAGAATACGCCAGCGCCGATTCCTGCCAGGTGGAGTCTGATGACTCCCTGTAAATCATGCATCAGCACAGCTTATGTCTCATGTGGTGATTCCTTTCTTCATCATTGATGACATTTGTGTGATCGCGTTCACTTAAAAAAGTATTGAGTAATGCAAGTGATCCAATATCATTACTACGTTGACGTGAGGGGACTGTGCATCGCGGCGTTTGCATCACAAACTTTGCTTTCCTTCAACCCTTATAAACGTGAACCCTGGTTCACATTTCTGGCTGTGGATCAAAATCCGTGCGACTCATTCCCCTGGCGGATGTGGCGTGAATTTGTGGAACATGCAGCTGTTCTGCAGAGCACGGTGAGCACGTGAAACATCTGGGTAGGCATATTGGGCGGAGCCTTTTTTGCCCGCAGGCTCGTCATGGTCCCTGCAAGAGGCCATCATGGTGCAGGCTTATCGTTATTGGAGACGAACTTGGACCGGCGTCGTGAATTAGCTTGAGGCGATTACTCGGGCCGAATTCTGACTCAGAATAGCGCCAACGACCCGAGCACTGTGATGCAAATGTCACATTTCATCAGAAGATTGCAACATACTGAGCGAGCAAATGCCAACGGATGGTATGATTCGGATCAGGATTTTGCACGTTGCTCTGCCTGCTGCCCTGGTTGCGTTGGTAATTTCTCTCCACATCCATCGCCGGGAGCATAAGTTGTACGTTTATTGAACAGTACATTCGCATAGAAGTTGTTATACTTGTCGGGCTGGGATTGGTTGGACGCAGGTTCGCCTCGGTCAGTCCGCGCAGTTAACGTTGCGGTGCGATGCCGTGGGCCACAGCAGCCTGCAAGATCACGGGCTCGAAGTGCCCTCCCTGTGGGCCCGGGCGTAGCGTGTGTGCAGTTCGGTCGGACTGACCGTTTGCGGTGTACACATGACATTCTGCAGCGCTGGAAAGGATGCCACTGGAACGTTATACGACGGTGCTGCGAGCTTATCACGTACATAATCGACGTACATAATCGATGGCTTCATCGCCTCGAATCGATCTGGTCGTCGCACAACCTTCCAACACAGCAGTAATGGCAGCCGAGGCTTCAACAGCAGCATCATTGCCGGCTATGTTACCGATGCAGTGCTAGAACCAGCACAACGCGACAATCATTGGACATCAGCAGCGTCAGCGGGGGCGGCAGGAGCACTGGTGCCACCCATGCCGACGGAACCAGTGGAATCAACACCAGTGGCAGCCAGCGAATAGAAAGAACACCATGACGAGAGCTAGCAGGAACAGAAAGAGCGCAGTTGCAACATGCGCATTATACATTTTCTGAAGCATTCTCAGCGTGCCCCCAATCCATTTTGCCGGG